AAACTTTGCAGAAAAAAATTATTTTTTCTGCAAAGTTTTGAAACATAATCTTGAAACACTCATCCCTGCAGTTTGCTCTCTTAATAGCCATTGCCAGTAGCGCTCTCTAGTGTCACAAATACAAATTACATTTTATCCAAAGTAAATAGTGAAAGGGAGAGAGTCTCTTTATCTTATTTAAAATTCCTCTCCAATCAGGGCCAATTAAGTAAGAAAACAGCAGCATTCACACAATTCCCATACCCATATTCCAATATCAAAAACCCAAGCTCAGATTTGCCAGAAAAAATAAAATAAAAAGATTCCTTTTCTCTTGTTTCTTAAAAATTAATAAAAAGTCCAAGCCTTTGCCCATCTTGCTGAATATACAAAACTATTTATCCTAATTAAAAAAAGAATGTAAATCTTTCCACAAAGCACCTATAGTAGCCAAAAGGAAAAAATACACTGTAACTAAAGAAAGCCTCTCTTTAACCCAATAGAAGTAAAAAAACAACAACAAAAAAAGTAATTTTGGAAATGAGAAGCTCAGCGCAAGTGTGATCATTCGCCAGTCGATTCCGAAAGTCTCTGTTTCAACTTCTGGCTGTGAAAGGCTGTCCAGAGGTCATATGGGACGATTTTTAGGATTCTCCTTGGTTTTGGAGAATTCTTCAGGCTCCAGGAACCTGCCTGAGCCTAAAAAAGTCTGTGAAGGTGACTCTCCACTTGAAAAGGAGAGCCTCACGTGTGGCCATTACCCACCGGAAGTTCTCTTGTGCCTTTTTTATTCTTATATACAATACCTAGTATTGGCCTGGCAGTATCCAAGGCAGAGGCTGGATTCCTGCATCACACCAAGCCATCATGTTGCTTGTTTGGCTTTGGCTTAGCTTTTTTTTTTTAATAATAACTTTATTGAATTTTAAAAGCAGAAAGATAAAAACAAGAAGTAATCAAGAAAAGAAATAGGAGAAAAGAAAGAATAAAGAAAAAGAGGAAAACAGGAGTACAGAAACAGAAATACAAAAATAGAATGACTTCAGACTTCTTTTAGAGCAGATATAAGTAAAACATACATTAAACTCTTGCTCTAAGATTACTACTCATCAAATCCATATATCATAATTTCATTTTTTTCTGTTTCCCACAAAAAGTCCAAAAGGGGCTTCCAATTAGCATTAAAATTAGTGTCTTTTCTCTAATCAGGCTTTGGCTTAGTTATTGTCTGAATACCAGTGTCTGGTAAACCATTGTATAAATGTTAAGCCAGTTGTGGCATCACCAACTGAGAATGGTTAATCAAACCTTTTTTTAATATAATGTGAGCACCTGTTATTGAGTAAATATAATTACAATGTTTAAAAAGTCCACTTGTTCATGTCATGATTATAGATTGTAAAAAGCAGTATCAAATTTCATCTCATTTAAAGTGATCCTGATTTTTTAAGAATTGGCTTAGGAAAACACTTAAATAAAAGGATGCAGAACCAGCATTTAAAAGAGTACTTTCATTTGCATATAGTTGTGCATCATATATGTAGTATGGTTTAGTGCTTGGGGAAAGAGAAAGGTGCAGTCTTTTGATGGAATGCAGCATGTGTTGGTTACCTCATTAGTGAACATCTTGTTATCGAAACAAACAGTAAGAAGCAGAAAGCAGTAAATTTGGTGGATGGCCACTTTTGGCTACTTATCCAGACTTAGTTCTTTGTTCAAGTCTAGCATGTAGAGTTAGAGTGGGGTAGTTATGGAAACAGTAGCAAGCTTTTCATACAGAAGGCAACAATGCCCTTGGTCCAGTTTTTTAAAATATGAGTGAGCAGAATTTTATGCTGTCTCTTAAAAAATCCTGCTGTAGAACTTAGGTCACTTTTCTCAAATGTGTGATGCAGCCAAGAAACTTAGATAACTCATCTTCAGTATAAGTTGTATGTGTGTGTAATAAAACAAGGTGTCTTGAACTACCTAATGTTAGCATATATGCTGTAATAGATTTCTTGGGTTTGTTTACTGTATTTCTAGCAGTCTCAAGAAGAGGATCATCTTGTTTGCCTCCCCGGTCCACCCCTACCAGGTACATCTGCCCTTAATAGCCTAGTGGTTTCTTGTGCATCTGCAGTTGGTGTAAGAGTAGCTGCTACTTATGAAGCCGGAGCCTTGTCTCTGAAGAAGGTAATGAACTTCTATGGCACAGTTCCAGGTTGCACAGCCTCCCCATCTAGTGGAAGCTCTCCAGCCCTGGATGGAGCGAAGGACAGCCGAGAAGAGCAGGTCAAGCTGGAGTCAATGCACGGGAAAAAAAGTTCCAGCTTGGTGGATATTCGAGAAGAAGAATCTGAAGGAATCTGTCGAAGACTTTCCTTGCCTGGTTTGCTCTCCCAAGGTGAGATGCTCAGTTAATCTCCAGGATTTTCATTCTTCATGTTAATCATCTAATTTCACAAACATATAAGGAATGTACGTGCTTCTAATGGCAGATTTTATTATGTGCCAGCCCTTCAGTATAGCACCTTTTAAAGCAAACTGTTTACAGCAGTTAGAATGGCAAGTCCTATAAATATTTTATTCCTTCTTTTCCCACTCTCAGTTAATTTTCATAGTTGCCATTTATGTAACACTAGTATGCTTGATTACGGCTTCTAGAAAAACATTGTTTGCCTAGGGCCCTGTTTTCTCTTGGAATGGATGTGGTCCAAAGGCAAAGGGCCAAAAATTAATGTCTTGTAGTCTTTATACTGTTATTCATTTGTACAGCATTTTTCATTTGCAGAGCTGTTAAAAATATGTGCCCAATTATATTTTTTAATTAAAAATTGGTCAGATCCAAATTCAGTTAACACCTCTAAACATGAATTAAGGTTCTCTTGATACTCATACCAAGACAACTTTTGATAAAATGTGTTCACTGTTAGTTTACTACATTTCCTAATGTTTCCCTTTATTCTCAAGTACATAGGCAGGGAGCTTCTGTTAAGATACAGTAAGTGGGCAGAAGTTTTAATAAATAGTTCAACCAGTAATTTTTATCATTTGACACAGGTTCCCTTTCTTTTGGCAAAAAGGGGCATTTAAAACTAAATGTTTAAGCCATAATTACGCAGACTACTAAATAGACATCAGTGTGCATGTAGCCATCCCCTTTGGTGCCTGCTAGACTCTGTACTAATCTTATTTTGTATACTATAAATATTATTTTAATTAAAAATAATTATTATAGAGAAATGGCATGGCTGCAACCCAACCTCCAGCATCATTTTTATTTTCAAAAATAGTTGGGCTCACTTAAAAAAAATTAAGATGATTGCTGCAGCTGTGTGGTTTTTTTTTTAGGCATGTGTCCAGCTGCCCTGAAAAAAACAGAAGTAACTTGAGGTGGTAGGGAGAATCTAGAGGGCTAGAACAGATGTCAGGGAACTAACTCACCAGTTTGTCATCTGGTAAACAGGTGTCTTGTGATTGGCCATTCCCATCAGTGAATGGGCAAACTCCTCCCAGCTATGACACACATTCCAAAATACTGCCTGTGAAAAAACAACCTGTGGTTACAATTACAGCTTGACTTTCAAGGGCTACCAGGTCTTAGCTGCAAAGTTCTAGATCAGGGTTCCTCAACCTCAGCAACTTTAAGATGGGTGGACTTCAACTCCCAGTATTCCCCAGCCAGCACCTCAGCAACTTTAAGATGGGTGGACATGGCTGG